CTGGAGATCCAAGATGCTTTGGGAAAACTGAACCTGCACTACCCATAATTCTAGCTGCGCTGCGGGCAGCTTCAGCCTAAAGCTGTTGTAGCAGATAAGAATCCGAGTTACAAAAACCTCGTCATCCGTATTCTGCTCACAAACACCTGAACAATCTGCTTGGATAAAACATTACCAAGAACACGAAAAACTCACGCAATATCAAAATAACATTCACATAAATAATTTAAATAGCTATAGCAAAGCTAAAGTCTTTATCTAAAATTTTTAAGTGGCCAAAGACATGTTCTAATAATATGCTGTACAATTTTCAGAATCAGAACAAACAAGAGAGCACAAGTAACCAAGGCTGCCATCATGAGCGCCTTCTTTTTGATTGAAAAAATAAAATAAAATAAAATTTTGTGGACTTTTCATTAGTTGTATTCTGGGCTGCATGAAACCTTTTCCCACACCTCACAACTGTGTGCAGTAATTCAAAGATTCGTCCATTAAATGTCGATTCCCAGATGCTCTTTACAAACCACAGGACACAGAGGAAACGTCCTACATTTGCCCATATGCTTCTCCTCTCCTCTTCTCTCTCTCATCTAACTGTGCCCCAAAACGTGCAACAGGTCACCAAAATCACAGTCAAACAGTTCACTGATTCCTTCGTGGTCCTCCAGCCCAAAGTGGTAGTCGTGACTGTGAGGGGGGGACAGGTTGATGAAACTGTCCAATGGAAGAGCGAGGCCCTCTCCATTCAGGAAGTCCGAGGAGGAGAGGGGTGACAGGTCAAAATCGGGCATGTCTCCGAGAGTGGAGAACGGGTCTCCTCCCAGGAGTGAGTCTGTCAAAGAAAGAAAAATGTCAACTATGATGGAACAATATTTTGTTCTTATTGGGTTGTGATCAATAAATTAATTAACTAACAATAACCAACTTGATTAGTAAGTCTGTAAAATGCCTCTGAAAAAGATTTTATAATTTGGTTTTACATGGCAAAGTGAACTAGCATCAGCATTTCTGTCATCCAACTGTGCGTATTACAAGTCCATACACAGTGAACAGGTCATCACTCTCAGCACAAAACGTGGCTGCCAACACACCAGCCTGAAGAGAAACAACCGAGAACCGAGCTAAAGTCAGGAAGTCAGAAGGCTTGCAGCGGAAAGGAAACTGGCAAGTTGGTGCATCACTGCTGACAGTGACATGCACGGCAGGTTAGAGTGTGACCTACACAGTCTGCATGTTATGTGTGGTCCGTCAGAAAAACACTGCATTAATTAAAAACTTCAGAAGTTGCAAATTTCAGTGCCCGGGCAGCCACCATTTTTTTCTTTAGTCGATGTGTTTTGTGCTCCACCTGTACCCAGCAGCAGTGGGGTGTGCACACTATTGGTCATGTATAAAAGGTTTAGCCACGCTGCAGGTACATTTTTTTCCAGGCACATTTATGCCTTTATTTGTAGGCCATGGAGAGGCGGACAGAGAGAAAGAGATTTATGATGCATGTGAGCAGCCGGACTTGAACTGGCAATGCTGCCAATCCAATGTGCACGTGTATATGTATGGTAGGGGTGTGACAATACACTTAGCTCATGAGACGAGACAATACACGATATTGGGTTCATGAAAGAAGATATTTTAACACATTTTTTAAGAAATCTTCAGTGATGAAATATATGACTTGAAAAATTGTGTTTTATTTGAATGAAAGTCTTAAAATACAAAACGCTGCAGGTACATTTTGAAATGTTTTAACTAATAATCTTGTAATGAATGTCACTTCAGTTCTACTTTCTGAGTATGAATTATCATATGCAGTAAAAGACAACAACATGCAAACTGTAAAAGGTTTAGCCACAAACACAGCTGACTGGCTTCTCTCATGTAAGAGTTCACATGAGTCTCTTCAGACCTTATAACTGTGCATGAACTATGCACAAGCTTCTAACTGAATTTCAAAGGTGTGTAAAAACCCCAGCCCTCTCCACTCGTTTCTATGAGGGATTGTGTTCACCACAGCCGGCACCAGCATCGCAGGGGCCTCTGGCAAAATGATACAACTCTGTGTAGCAAAAAAAGTTTGATCTGGTTCAACCTCCACCGCACCAGATGGTAACATCATCTGGCAAAGGCGTTGTGTTGATGATCAGAATGTTGACGCCCACAGGAAGAAGACTCTTCCCTTGTTAGCATGAGCGTTCACTGCTATTCACTGATTCTGGGCCTCAGCTAATGCACCATAATGACACGCCACACATTTTCATTAGTATTGGATGTTAAAACTGTGTTTTCTAACTATCAGTGCTGACACACTGGTGGTAGAATTGGTGCTAAGCTAGAGTAGGTTACTTTAGCAGCATGGCTAACCACAACACAACCCAGGGCTGGAAACATAAATGAAGCCACTCACATTGACTTGTCACAACATTGTTGTATCATACATGCCTACAACCCTTCACCCTCGGTCAATGCAGCCCTTTGCGTTGAAACACAGCAGGGAGTCTTTTGTTTTGCTGGACTGTATCGTCACACTCCAACATACTGGCCTGGTTCTGTTATTTACTGATATTGTGACACAGCTTTTGCCTTAATAATAAATATAATCATGCTTTAACATCACACCCATAGTATAAGGTGCACAGAGCTGTAACTACTTAGCTTTTGGGATGTCCTTTTTTGGTTTTAATATGGTAAAATCATCAAAATATCGTCAGCTGCATGGCCCACATTACTGCAGGAGACTGAAAAGAATGAAGCTGTTTTCAGTGTATTTAGCTGCACTCTGGCAAAGCTACAAATGTCCAGAAAATGTGTTGGGGAGGGGAGAGAAGTGGCTTATGCTGCAGGAGTAGCTAAGACGCCCCTACTGACACTATTATTAAGCCAATGTAACTGACATGAATTCAAGTTCACCACAGCCACTGTTCTCCAGCTGGAGTACCTTGCAGGATGTTGGGAAGTGTACCACTTAACATTGTACTAAAATGTTTTCACTGAACACAGATAAATGCACATTTATTTACTGAGAAACATGAACACTCACCTGTGTCACCGCCTAACACCAGTGATGAGGGGTCCTGCTGGGAGGCTGCCGTCACTGTGGATGATGTGGATGCTGGAGATGATAAACCCACTTCCAGAGCTGTTGTGGATGTTCTGGATTGTGACTGGTCTGTGGATTGTGTGGGAGGCGAGACCAGGGAAGGGTCAGTATTGGGTTTTGAGGGACTACTTCCTGACACGGGGCTACAGATGCCAGAGCTGTCTTCTGGACAAAGGAAGACGTCGATAGGTCCCCTGGTGCTCTTCAGTGACACCTGGTAACCCTGAGAGAAGCAGTCAAATAAAAAAAAGCCTACAACCACAAGACAAATACATTACAAAAAGCTGAATAAAATTCAAGACCCTTACCTCACTGGGTTCTGCAACTTGCATCTGGGTCTCTGGTGGAGCTCTGATCACCATGACCAGCTGGTCTGGGGAATCAAATGACTTCTTCAAGTCTTGGCAACGCACATATCCCAGCGTGATGAATACAACAATTAAGGAATTCAGTGCAGCTTCAACTGGTATCATGCTTACAGTTACTGAGTCCAAAACTGAAACGGTGTCTTTACGAAGTTTGGAGGTCTATGCCAGCCGGCAAAATTAAACTAGTTATTTTTGTTCGAGGGGGAATGGGAAGAACAGCCTATAAACATGTTATGTAGTCAAGGGCACCGGACTTGTCTGACCATGTGCGGACTGGACCAGAGACTGCTTGTCTAACTTATACTATGTAAATAAATATGTGGGAAAACATTGGAATTGTCATCAAATATACCAGCGGTGGAAGAAGTACTAAGGTCCCTTACATAAACAAAAGTAGCAATACCATAGTGTAAAAATTCTCTAAGTAAAAATTCTGCATTTTAAAATGTTACTTAAGTATAGTACCATGGCTGGGTTTGAGCCCGGGTTGACCCAGTGCCTTTCTGTGCCTGCGTGGGTTCACTCTTTGTACTCTGGTTTCCTCCCACAGTCCCCTAAAGCTGTAAACCTAGGGGAAACACTGGTGTTACCTGTTTAGGTCTGAGGACATAAAAATGGTCCAAAGGATATTTCTTGTTCTGTGGATCCTCTGTGAGCAGTCGGAGCTGTAGGGTGCATTTGGAAATGAGCTCGTCCAGCTGCTCCTCTGCCTCTGTGAGGTCACACACCTCCTTCTGCAAATCCTTATGGCGAGAAACCAATTCCGCATCAATTCGATTACCACTGTAGGGGGCACAGAAAAATTTGAAAATGTGAGGTTTCTAGATTCCTAGAACACATACCAGCCACTGGTAACATACTTTAGGCTTTTTTGTTATACTCACAGCCACTGGATGTTGTTTTTGGACTTCTTGGAGATGAGATGGATTCCCTCCAGGACATTGGTTATGTCATAAATGCGTCTCTTTTGGACATCCAGGACCTGTGAGGCCCAGTTTAGATCCACCACACCATCAGCCGACTGGGACAACAGGTTCAGAAAGCGCTTGGTGGTTAGGTTCAAGGAAGTGTCATACCGTGACTTTTCCGTTGTGGTCCGAGGAACTGAGATGAAAGAGAAGATATATGGGTTTAAAGATTCTGCATACAAGCACACTGGGTAGTTCATTTCCTCATAAAACTACAAGCTGAGGTACCTAAAATCTATGAACACTGTGTTTTAGGGAGCCCTAAGATTTACCACAAATAGTAAGACTCTCACACATAACTGTTCTTGTGAACTACAATGATTGATCAATAGGAGGAAGAAAACAACATGATAATAAAGCCTTTTGTCTTCTTGTGCATTTAAAAACTATCTTCTCTCATTTGAGCAGACAAAAAGATAGCTTAGAATGGTTTTAATTATTTCTGACACTAGTCAGCCTGGTAACGACAGAGAGGTTGGCAGGCCGTTGTTTGTGCTGACAGCTGTTTATAAGACAATGGCAGCAGTAACAAAGGTCAAAGTATATGGACTGAATGGCTGGAGAGCTCACATGTTGCTTAGGCTGTGAATTCTGGGTAACAGTGAAAGAAAATATGCAGAATAACCCGTGACTCTGAGTGTGTTTGTACCTCTGGGAGGTGCAGGTGTGGAAGGTGGTGCCTGGCCTATAGATGGTCGAGCGGTGCTGACATACTGATGGTCACTATCAAGATCCAACTTTCTCTTCACCTAAATACAAATGGTTATAAAAAGAAACATAGGCAATAAAAGGTACCATAATTATACCATGTTATTACAATTATGTACTACCTATGTTTTAAGAAAAAGAAAGTGAAAACCCCCTGCTGAATGAAAAGCAAAACAAAATGTCTTAAAGCAACAGGTGGATGGACTTATACAGCTGTTACACGGGGACAAGCACGCTCATGTAAACATTTCAACATGGTAAAAGACAGTTCCTCAGCTACCTACTTCCCTTTTTTCCCTTTCACTTTCTCTCACCTCTGTCTTTCCCCCTTCTTCCCACAACACCCCCCTCTCCTCACCGGAGGTTTTCCCAGAGCCGGTCGTCTCTTGTCCTGGATCCCCACATCAGCAGGGCCCTGTGGGGTAGCAAACAGCAGGATCTCCCCTGTGCTGGTGGGGGCAGCAGCTGGGTGGAGTCCCTCATTGCTGGGGGTGGTGATGATCACTATCTGCTGGTCCTCGCCCAGGTTGAGACTCCCAGAGTTCAGCAAAGTCTCAAAGTCGGCCAACAGATCCTCTGATGTCTGCCCAGTTATCAGGGTCTCTGACATGGCAGTGTGTCTCTGAGTACCCCTTCACTGGACTTTGGGGGTGTTGAGGGATCACAAACTAAGATACTCCAGTTAGACTGAGTATCACCACCTACTTGCATTTGCTGTACTCAGTGAACAGTGGTGAAACCCCCTGAAAGTTTGCTTGCAAGTTTTCATAGCCAGCTC